TGGGGATGGGGGAGATGGACTTACGGAAACTGCTGCCGCCAGCGCCCTGCTCTCTTCGGCCCAGCCCAGCCCAGCCCAGCCCGGCTCGGCACGGCCCCGCAGAAGGTGGAGTTTCAGCGATCAGGATGTGCGAACAAAGGCGAGAGAGGGAATTAAAGGAGCAGTGACAGCTCACAGACGGCGGGAGAGGATTTGTCGGGGCTGCTGGTGCGGTTCTGTCTGCTGTCAGCCTCTCCCCGCTCCCACGGGAACGGGAGGGTATCGCCGGGTTGGGCGCGCTCCTTCCAGCATTGTCCTGAGCAAAGGGTTCGGTGCACATGGACACCGGGGCTGGAAGAAGCAGCAACTTTCTCTTGGAAATAGGTTTGGGGGTAAAATGGCAGTACCCTACACTGCTGGCAACCCAGCTTAGCACGGTGAAGCTCTACACTGCATCTTGTCTTGGGCTTGTTGACCTTCTGGTGCCAGGGCTGAGTACAGGTGGTCCCAACAGATGTCACACACTGTGGGGTCCCTTCTCCTTCCCTCAGGCTGTGCCTGCAGTGCATCAATCCTGCCAGTCCAGGCAGTCAGGGTCAACAACCCGGCCACCAGCTGCCCTGGCCTCCCTATATGTCCCAGCAGTCACGGCTGGCACTCGCCCCACCAGCTGCCCCTCGCTGCTGGGTGCCAGCAGTGCCTTCCCCGGGCAGGTCCCACTGCCCTGGGGGTTCCCGCAGCAGGGCTGCCCCTGCGTGCCCTCTGTGACTCACGGCCCAGCTATGCTGGGTGGTGCCCACCACCTGCAGGCACGGCCACAGCACGGCTTGGCATGGCACTGCATAGCCCTGTGTACTGCAACAAGGCTTTGTCAGACGAGACGTGGATGGGCACAGCTTGGCCTGGTGTGGCTCAGCACAGCATGGCTTGGTCTGGAATGACCAGCTCAGCTCTGCCCAGTCCCAGGCAAGAAGCTCTGCACTGCCATCCTTCTAGTGTCAGGGCTAAACAGGGCAATCCCAACAAGTGTCACCAACCATAGGGCTCCTTCTCCTCCCCTGGTGGAACTGGGAAAGCTGTGCCAGTACAGCGTCATTGCAGTAGCTGGCACCCAGACTGCAGGAGCCCAGGTTGCACAGGGCACCCGCTTCCTAACACATGCCAGCTTGCCCCAGGGGGTAAATCCTTGCTAAGCGCAGTGCAGGTTGCACATGGGGTCAAGAACTGTGTTCCTTGCTTGAGGGAAGGGCAGTCCGTACATTCAAAAACAGCTGTACCATGGTCCTACTGCTACACCCACAAGGGATCACTCCTGTCCCCTCCTAACCTAGGAGAGCCTGTCACAGGCAGCTTGTTCTGCTGTGGTCACCACACTAAGCTGCAGGCATCAGTGCACTTTCAGACAAGGAACAAGAGGCCTGTAATGCCAGGGCTTGTTCCTACTTTGGGCTTGTGCCTCAATGGTTCTGTCAGATTTTTCTCTGGCCTTGACCACCACTGACCACCCTGCCTGCTCAGATCCACACAGGGCTGTGCCTTGTCCTTGTCATGACCCGATTCATCTCCTGCCTTATTACCCCTCAGTGGCCTCCTAAATCTGGTTTCACAGCTGTCTCTCCAGGGCCTAGAGACAGCTCCTACATAATCCTGTCACACAAGCTGTCCCTTGTCCTGCTCACTATGCTAGGGAACAGTTTCCGTAAAACACCTGCACAAATGCCCGTGCGATTTTCTTGTTTCCTTCCTTCCAGCTTCGCTTTGCATCCATGGCTGCAGGGACTTGGCAGCAGTCATGGTTCTTTCAGTCTTCTGTTCTTTTTGTTCCCAGGCATGGCCTCTTCCCAGTTCTTTGGCTGTGGGCTGTCAGGGGAAGGAGAGTTTTTGTCCCCTGCTGATGCTGCTCTGCTGGCACATGAAGTCACAAGGCCTGAACACAGCGAGGTGGGAACAGAGCTGGGGTCACCCATTCGTCTCTTAGCAGCCTGCCCCAGGCCTCGCCTCTCCATTGTGCTGTCCTCGCAGCAACGGCCACTGTACACAACTCTGTACACAATGTAACGAGCATGCAGCAGCCGCCTGGGAAGCACGGCTGATCCAGCCTGCACAGAGAGCAGCAGGGAGCTTCCTGGGGGCTGGCTGCTCCCTGCCTGCCCCAGCACTCAGGGGATGGCTGGACTACAAACAGCATCACATGTCAGGAAAGTGCTCCCAGCCAAGCTGTGCTCCAGCACTTCTCACCCTTTCCCAAAGGCTTTAGCTGTCCATCCAAACCATGTGTCCAGGTTTCTGAATGGATATGGCAGGAGTCGCCAAATAACATGGTATTGGGGCTGCAAAGGTGGGCTGACATCTGCCTTCAAGACTACCAGCAAAACTCTCCTACCACACCATTCCAAATCATCTTCCCATCCCAGTCTGAGTGCATGCAGCTCCTCATCTACCTGCTCTCAGCAGAAAAGCCTCTTCTGATACCTCTGCAAACGAGAAGGAAAGCCCACTTACGTGGGGAGCACCTGTGAGCCATGGCTGGGCTCCTGGGGGCAGGGCAGGGCTTGTGCTGACATACAACCTCCCACTCCTCCCTTTTGCACCATGCATGCTCCTGCAGCCTCCTCTCCTCCCAGGTCCCAGCCCCCAACCCACTCCAGAAAGAAACGACTGCAAGAATAATAGCTCCTTTTTTTCCTTTTTTTTTTCTTTTATACACAAATATATACAGGTTATTATACACATCTCTACACAGACAGTGCCACTCAGAACACACAGCTCTCCATGGGCAGAGCCCGACAGCCACCGAGGCAGCCCTGGGCCACGGCCGTACCTAGAGACCGGAGCATCCCAGCCTGCCTGCTGGACCAGGGGTAAGGGCAGTAGGTGGGTGCAAGAACAGGGAAGCAGGATCAACAGTCCCCCTGCCCAAGCCTGAGAGCTCTCAGCTCACAGGCTCATTTCATTCCCAGCTGGTACATGGAGGGCATGGGTGACTCTCACCATGTCCCTTCACGCCCACATGTGCTCCAGCCCCAGCTGAGCCCTGGGAACAGGGGTCGCCTGCCCTCACCATGCACTAAAGATCCACATCTCTTCCCCTTTGTCCCCCTTTCCTCCAGGTCTGGGATTTCTCTAGAGGAAGTGTACAGGAAAGTCAACTATGTCCTCCCTGCAGCAGCCCCTTGCCTGTTCTTTGTATGCCTGGCTTCCCTCCTCTAGTGGGGGACAAGGGGGAGAAAAGCCATGGGACGTGACCCCTCTTCCCGGCAGTAGAGGTGGGCAGGGCTGACACTTCACTTGTTCAGGTCTATTAAAGTGCTTGGAGCTCCAGGGCCAGCATGGGTGATTGAAAACATACATGACTGTCACCTCCTTTCACCCAGCCCAGTCAGGCCCTGGAGGGCACGGCCCCACTGAGCCAGTGCAGCACCCACAGATGACAGGCAAAGGGAGGGTGATAGTGTCTGCAATGAGCACCAAACAGGATGGTGGCAGGGTTTGAGGGAAATAAATATAGCTAAATAGCAGGGGGATTTATAATTTTCCTTTACATTTTACACAAGGGGAGGGGGGAAGCAATTGAGAGCAACTGATCCCGACCAGAAACCTCCTCACAGAGCCTGTATTAGTCCGTCTTTCCTGCAGATGCCAGGGGCTCCAGTCCACCTCTCCCATCCATCCTGTTCCCTGCCTACCACTGGGACACAGCTATCACCAGGGAGAGGGCAAGAGTGGAGGCAGGAGAGGAACAGCACCCCTTTCCCAGGCTGGGTGATGGCAGGGGAGCCTACACCAGTCAGGGCAGGTGAAGAAAGTCAGCGTAGTCCCACGAGGCTTTTGTGCTCCTGAAGATGGTGGTCTTGGTTGGAGAGGGCTCCCAGGGGCTGCTCTCCCAGGGCTCCCTCCCTCTCTGACCACCTCAGCTGGGGGGAAGCCCCTGCAGCAGCTCAGGGAAGGCAGCCCATGAGGCTCTGTTGCAACCAGGCAGCACTGATCCCACAGGGTGCTGAGGGCCTGCAGTCCAGGACCCTTTCTCCCCTCTCCCTAGCACCCAGGAGACCCCCCAGTACAGACCCTCACCCCCAAGTCTGACCCTGTTGTGCAGACACAGGGCAGCAAAGGAGGGCTGCAGTACCACATGGGGGTCAGGTTGATTTGTTTGAAAGGGGAGTAAAATGTGCAAAAAATATGCCACTTAAAATGATGCTGCAGTCCCCTGTCTGTGCCCCTGGGGGAGGAGAGCACAGGACCTGGGGGAGAGACTGCCTGCGCCTCCTCCTGCCCATGAGAAATGCCCTTAGCACCCCTCACCCTGCGAGAGGTTGCCTAGTTCACACCAACTGCATATGCCCCTTCCCTAGAGTGATGCCACACTGAGCCATAGGCTGTCACCATCACCATCCCCATGGTGAGGGTGCAGTGCAGTCTGTCATCACCCCTGTGCCTAGACCAGCTCCTGGCATGCCACACCAAGTGGATGCTGCAAGGGCTTGGGAAAGGGCACACGCAGGCACAGGGAGAAGGTGCAACAAAAGCCACCCCCCTCCCTAAGTGGGGCTTCCGATACACTGACTAAAGCTTTTCATTTATCACCTTCTTGTAAATCTAATACATTATTAGTGTTTCTCGCCAGGAGGACAGGGGACACAGGGGTCTGCTGAGAAGAACCCAAATGCTCCCCTTATGCCCCTTACCAGGGAGCACTCAACCTTCCTCCTCCCTGCAGGTCCAGGGCAGCACCGTGGCGGGGGTCACAGTCCCCCTGCTCCCCAGCCCCCAGGACTCTGGGGTCTGGGGACGTGCTGAAGAAGGTAGCTAGTAAAGAGCATGCCTGCCGAGCAGCCGGGCTGGCGCGGGGCAGAGGGGCAGGGAGAGCTTGCAGCAGGGCCCCTGCCCTCACTGAAGGCAGCAGCCCTGGGGGCGGGCGGGCAAGGGTGGCAGCCAGCACCCTCGGGTGCCTCTCCCCAGGTCTCCGTGCACACAGCCTGCCCTGCTCCTGGGCCTCCTTCCCCTCCCACCCTTCGAGGTCCCTACTGGTGGATCTCGTTTTCTATCAGGCTGTCCTCACACGACTGGAAATCTGTGTCGTTCATGCCATCTGCATTAATGAGCTCCTCGTCCTGCGATCCCTGCTCCTCCGACTCCGTTGCTTCGCCCTCCGGCGAGGAGTCCTGCAGCACTTGGGCGATGTACTTCTGCCGAGGCCAGACATAAGACAGGCAAGGGGTGGGGAGAGAGCAGAAACACACGTGAGTCTGGGGAGCATCTCCTGGCAGCACAGCACAACACGCCAAGCACCATGCATGAGGCTGAGCGTGGGGATACGCTGGGAGGATGAGGAAGGGTCCAGACTCCATGGGATGTGTTAAAGGAGGTAAGAGTGGGGCTGGCTTGGCCCTGCAACACTGGATGTTTCAAACCCCAGCATTCTGGGACAGGGAGCCTGGGCTGGGAGACAATGGGACTTCTCAGCTCTTTGGAGCCCACATGGACTGGAAGACTGTGCTCCCCTTTTTGTTAGTAGATGTGTCCCTCCTGAGGCTCTGTCTGCCTCCTATGGGGATTGTCCTTCTGGTGAGATGTTGCTGCCCTTAGGTATATGGAGACTAGGAAGGAGCCTGGATTACATGTGCCCACCACAGCCCTGCTATCCCAAGGAAGCAGAAGGCTCTTTTTCACCCCATCTCTGCATGTACCTTCTGAACAGCTCTGCATAGACCCCAGCTATAAAACCATTGTGGAAGAAAGCAGCTGGAATGAGCCAGCGAGCCAAGCAAAAATTCAGAAAACCAACTCTGGAATCTCAGAGTTGGACAGGGTAGATGAGAGTCCCCAAAGCACTTCCATGGCCTTCAAGGCAATGCCCACGGAGACCCCTTTGCATTGGCACTAGGACCAGCCCGGTGAGTGATAGCCTTTGCTGACGTGCAAGCGTGCAAAGATGTAGAACGAGAAGGGAGACTGACCCGGCTGGATTCACTGTCCCAGCCGAGAGAGAGGCAGAAAGTAAATGCACAGCATCTGAGGAGCAGCGGGAAAGGCGTGTGTGTGTGGGGGTTACACTTCGTCACCCAGAGCAGGTGAGGGGCGCAGCGCCCAACACTTGCCTCCCGCCCTCACTGAGAGACTCCAGGTGCTGACTCAGAAAAGTGAGAAGTGAGGAGTGAGATACTCGGACAGGGAGTTACCTCCCCTCTTCCAAACCCAGGTAAGGAGCGTGCCAGGGCATGGAGGTGGGGACAGTGACTCACAGCTGATTTGGGAGGTGGCAGATTGGTGGCAGGCCTCCCGTTCTGCCTGTTGTCTATGGCGTCCACCTCTGTGTGGTCAATCTGGAGAGGAAAGGAGAAATTAAGAGACTCCTGGGGCAAGAAGCTTGCTGTCCCACCTCAGGAGAACCATACAGGCAGCAGGGACAGCCTTGCGACTGCCCCCTCCATGACGCCAGGGCTGAGAGGCTCTGCTGAAGAGCAGGCTGAGGCCCTTGCAGAGGCCCTGCTGTTTTGAGGCTGAGCTGTGCTCCCAAGGAGAAGGGTCCCACACCCAGCATTCTGCCTCACCTTGTAGTTGTGAGCGCTGAGGTATTTGAAGTGCCCGAAGCAGACGTGACACAGACAGATCACAATGGTGATCACGAGGACCACAAAGGTGAACATGGAAGTGGGGGCCAGGAACCCTGGGGCAAAGGAAAACCGAAGTGGCAGTGTCAGAGGGGTTGTGATCATGCTCCGTGGCTAGGGGCTGCCAGGACCAGAGTCTGGCCAGGGAAGTGGCTCTGTAGGAGGTCAAGGGCTTGCACCCCAGCCCCGTGCTCACCTGCGCGCATGGTGGAGAAGAAGAGAAGCCAAAAGAGGCAGAGGATGGGGGCTGCCACTACCTGATTCACAGCCCCTGAATGAATCTTCTTGTCCAGCTTGGCAGGCAGGTAAGCATAATACAGATTGTATCGGTCCACCAGGTGCTTAAGCAGCATGTACATGAGCCCTGGGAGAAAGGGAAGGATGTCAGCACAGTGGAGAACCAGCCTCTCTCTTAAACTGAGAGGGAATATTTCCCCTACATCAGCCTTCTTGCCTCCCCTCAGCCTCTGACACAGGGAGGCAGAGGACAATCACTTACCAAAAGGGACGATGATGGGGCAGGTGATACTGTATGTCATGACCACAGTGAAGACGCACATCATCCAGGCGTAAGCAGCCCCAAACTGGAACTCGTAGGCTTGGTGCTGCAAGAGGGAATGGAGACCCATCAGTAGGACCCTGGGAGCTGAGCGGGTGTGTGTACACCCAGCTCTACACACAGCATTAGGTGAGCCCCTTTGGAGTCCCATCGCAGCACTCTCATCCCTGTGTGCAGGCCACATCCCATCCCCTCAGCCCCATTACATACTCGTTTGACGTTCCTCCGCTCGGCCGCCGAGCGGGCCAGGCAGAGGCGTATCATGTACATGAGCAAACCGGGGATGCGCAGCAGGTCCATGGCATTCCCGATGAAGGCGGAGGCGATGACGTAGTTGACGAAGAAAGCTCCGTTGTCTGGCAGGAACACACACCTGGGGAGATGCAGCAAAAGTAGGCTGCAGGACATGCTCCCTACTCACTAGGCAGCACCTGGGAGCCCCCAGTAGCTTTGGACACCAACAAGAACCACTCCTCGCTACAAAGGAAGTCTTTCTGTTCAACCCCACTTACTCAAATCGTACGGCGGCTTCGGCAAGGAACTTTTTGTCAAACAACCAGCGAAAAAATACATCCAAGCTGTAGGGGAGAAGGGCAAGAGAAAAGAGGAGCCATCAGAGCCAGCGATAGACAGACATGCACATGGCAACTATGTGGAATCTGCTGTAGAAGGACCGAAAGCTCTGACCATAGACTGTTTTGTTCCCTCTTGGGATGTGTCACCAGCAATTATGTAAATGAGACATTGGAAAAAACCCAAAACAAAACTGCAGAGCTCAAAAAGGTGTGCAAAGCTTCCCACTCATGCATGTTCTTATCCGTTTGCCCTGATCCTATCAGTATTTCCCTCTCTCCTCTGTTTTGACACAACATTCATGCAAGGAACAGGTGACTGACTCTACAGTAGAATCTGGTTAGGTACAAGGTACCCTCCAATAAGAGATTTAAAAAAATCCCTTAGGAGAAACAAATCCCATTTTCCTCAATTCTGAATTTTTTATACAAAATCATCCATTTCCCTGGCACTGGTGGAATAAAGAGCTCCAGAGGCAACAGTAGGGGGACTGACTCCTCAGAAGAAAGTGCAATCTGGTTAATGGCCCAAATGCAAACCTTTCTAGAGCATTCGCCTGCCCAAGCAGTAAGGTTACATGCAACAAGGCATTTTCAATCTGTCTTGGAAACACTGCTGTAGTCACGCACTGGGATGGAGGACTATTCTTGTGCCTCTGTCAGAGGGTCTGTCTATTCTCAGGAGCTGCCTGACATCACCACTGAGGGGCTATATCCCAAATCCTGACTTTAGGTAGGGTACAGATCATAATATCTGTATTATGAATGGCGTGGGTTGGAAGGCATCTTAAAGGTTCCCCCACCCCACAATGTGTAAGGAACAAACTACCACAGTGAGGGTCCCCCATCCCATGCCCAGTCCCCAGGTTTTTCTTCCCTGCGCTGTTCCCCTGCTTGGGCCCTGTTCAGCACTGGGAGCCCATGCCACCTGCTGGCAGGTGATGCATCCGTGTTTCCCACAGGGCACATCTATAACCTCTGCAGGAAGCTTTACGGCTCACATTCAAACAGTTGGGGACTGCTACACACACACTATCCCACCCAGCCAAGCAGTGCAACCTACTCAAGTTCTGACTCAAATGGGGAATTCACTAGTTTTGGACAAAATTCGGAGTGCACACTGAGCACAGGGGTGGAGAATGCCTGTTTCACTGGCAGACTTCAAGCAGACTGTTCAAATGCATCCCTCAACCATGCCAGCTTTTGCTGCATTATTTGTTAACAGCATGGCACATGTCAGTGTGTCAGCATTGAGTCAGTAAGGTCCTAGAGACCCAACTATGTATGGTCTGGCCTGCACCCAAATCCAAACACCAATTTCCCAAGGGGATGGTGGCCAGGGCACCAGTGCAGTGGGGAAAGGATGTAGTAAAAGAGAACAACCAGGGCTACATCTCAACCCTCCCCATGCTCCAGGTCTCTGCACTTGTCTTCCCTTCCCACCACCCTTACCTGCTCAGGCCCAGCGACGGCAGCAGCAAGACCATGAAGATGAGGAAGGTGTAACACTTGTGCATGGTTGTTCTATTCTCTCCAGACCTGAGGGCAGAGAGGAGAGGCTGTTAACCTTTCACTGCCACCCTGCCAGTTCCAGCTGTGCTCCCATGGCTTTTTCATCAGTAAGCACTTCCCAATGTCTAATCTGAATCCCACTCTGCCCACTACTGGTACATGAATATGTCTCCTTTCTCTCCAGTATGTCAGATGTCTATTGTAAGTCTTATTTCCTTCTCCTTGTGTCACAGGCTTTGCAAACATCCCCCTTGACCTGCAATCCTCAGAGCTGGTGACACCCTCCCCACTAGTCTCTGCAACACAGAGCAGAAAACAAAGCTTACATCGCACATCTGGTGAGGAATGTGCCTCAAAAGCAGCACATTCCTAGTGCTCTGCACTTCAAGTACCTTCCCTATGGCCAGAAGCCAGAGCAGCTAAAGTGATTTTTCCCTTGGAAAAACTATGACCTACACATGGGTACAGGCATACCACCCTCACCTGCTTACCTGAGCCAAGACTTCCCTCACTACTAGCATTTCTCACAGTGACCAGCCCAAACTGTTCCCAGCTTTCTTGTAGACCTCCATCAAGCTCTGCTCAGGCAACCCTTGCTGCACAACAGCAGCTGAGGACTGGCAGAACAGCAGTCCACAGGTGTCGCAGAGGTGTGACATAACACCACGCTTGGAGTGGAAGACGGAAGTTCGAGCAGAGGATCCAGCCAGGAGCTTTACACCAGTGAGAGGTGTCTAGGGACCAGGCAGCTTGCTAGTATGACTAAGAACAGGTGCAGACTGTTCTTACCTGGTCCAGTGCGCTTCAAAGAAGGCAGAGTAGTACACAATGGTGGGCAGAAGAGCAGAGAAGCACCATAGCAGCAGAGTGGGGAAGAACTGGGTGATGATTGGGTTCTGCAACAAGGCGAAGAAGAAATAACGGGTTACACAGTGCAGCACCTCTTGTGCCAGCCACAGGTACAACTGCCTTTGCTGATGCCAAGACCCCAGCCCTGCAGCTGCCATTGCTCCTTGGCCAGGCTCAGCACCTCCCTCATGGTCAGGTTGACAGGACCTGGGAACACTGACAATCTCTCTCCCTACCACCTGCCTTGCAGAGGCTGTTGTGCCTTGGAGGGGGTCCCATATGCCACCCATCCTGCACCCATCTCCAAAGGCCTTACATTGAGGTACTCCACGGGCTTGGTGACATTGAACTTGTCCATAGTGGTGATGATGATAGCAGGGGTGGTGAGGAAGAAGAGAAGGATAAAGAGGACCACATTGATCACGAGACAACGGATCCACCAGATGAAGCCCCGGATGGAGAGGTGTTCCCTGGGAGGGAGAAGGAGGGCATCAGATGGCTGCATAGGAAAGAATAGCAGGTCTGGGGCTTCATGTGCACACCACAGTCCAACCTGTGTGAACAGCACTTGGGGCACCAGCTCAAGGCTTTCCCTCTCCCAGCTGGATCAGACCTCTAGCTCAGCTGGGCTGGGCTTCAGCAAGAACAACTCACACAGTTACCAGAGGAGCAGATGGAGAGGGAGACAGGGAGGGTGCACCCCTTTCCCACTGGCAAGGCCACTGAGCCCCACAGAGTTGCTCACCAGTAGATGTTCTGTGGGTCAGGGGCATAGCTGACGGTCCAGTTGGAGACATGGAGGGACTCACTGCAGGAGGAGGTCCTGGGCTCCCCACGGCATGCACAGCCCTGGCACTTACAGGCGTTGAAATCTTTAAGGATTCTGGAGAAGAGAAAGAGTGAGACGCTGACATAAAGGGCTGGCAAGCACAAGCTGAAGGGATACCTTAGTGCTGGTATTCTTTTGATTTAAGGCAAGGGCTGGGACAAGTCACCTTCTTGGGGAGAGCAGGACCCTTTGCACTCACATGGCTGTGATGGTCTCGTTGTGGAAGGTGACAAAGGCCATCCCCAGAGGCTTTTCATTCACCTTCTCCTTCTCTCGCTTGTAGTCATCTTTGAGCTTCTCCTCCAGCTTGGTATAGTACTCGATGGCCTCCACCTGAACAGTAGGACAGAGGTCAAAGGAGAGATGATCTGAGAACCCAAGCCCCCATGTGCTCCACTTGCCCAATACCTCCAGCTCTCCCTTACCTCCTCGCAGCCCCTGATAACACAGCAGCAGAGGTGGCCACAGGGCTTGGGGTTGATCATGGATGGGGTGTTCTCCTTGCTCTGTAGGTTGGTGAAGTAGATCCGCCCACGCTCAGCTTTCTTCCTGAAACAGGAGAGTGGAAGAGAAGGAAGGAAGGAAAGAAAGAGAGTGGCTCAGAAAAGCTCCTGTGGTACCAGATTTGACGGGGAGCCAGCAGCATTGGCCAATTTTGCCTTCTCTCCCAAACCAGAGGTTACCTCTCTGCATCGAGGAACATCAGCCGGGCTACGTCATAGCAGGGACGGGCCTCCAGGACAGTGCAGTTGGCATAGGCCTCCCTGTGGATGAGAAGCACCAGCTCATCACACACAGGACTAAAGGCTGTACCCCTCAAGCAAACCCCATGCGTCCAGGACTTCTCTCCTGCCCTAAGAGTGTCCTGGTCTGAGTGCCACAATGCACAGCGAGAGTCTGCAGGGGAGTCTGCAGGCTTTGTCCCTTATAGTGGAAGCAGCACATGGGACAAATGCCACATCCTCTGGGCACAAGGAACCTTTCTAGACTTTTACCCTGCGGCAGGAAGGAACCCCTTTGACTCCACACTCCCTCTCTGCCTTCGTGGGCCACAGGGTTTGGGGTTGGAAATGAGGCAGAAGTGTACCCCTGAAGGGTACAAAGTATTTCTCTTCTACCCATGGTGCTTCTAAACACAGCCCTGACAGCATGTTCATTGAGGTTCTGACAGAAGAGGCATTGAATTTTTTTGTTAAAAAGCTATACTTACTACAAGAACTGCACTCAGGGCAGCAGCACAACTTCCCATAGTCACTGCTTGAGCACCTCCTGCCTGCATCTCATCTTTGAACTTGACTACATCTCAGGACATTCCCTGTGCACTGCTTACCACACTGACCCTCTATGGCTCTGCAAGCGATAGCTGGGCATATCCTAAGGCACAAAACCAAGGACACTGCACATTCAGTTAAAAACTTGTGCAGAAAATAAACAGTGAGATGCTCAAAATAAAGGTATTCACCAGTTTTGCCTAGCTCTTTGCATTCAATTTATTATTGCCATTCCAAGTAACACTAGAACTAGCCTGATTAAAATGTCCCTCTTACAGAGCAGTCTCTAGGGACACAGTGAGACTCACTCAAAATGCTTCTTAATCTTCTCTGGCTCAGCATATTTTGAGATCCCATTGATGAAGAGAGTTCGCTTAACCTGGAAGAAAGAAAAAAAGGAGAGGGCAGGTAGATGTGGATGGTGTAAAAGACCAGATTGCAGCAAATCCCCTCCCAAGACCTGAGTCAGCAATGAGAAAGTGCAGCCCCATCACTTCTGGCACCCAGGGCTCCTCCTTTCCTATGCTTCCACTAGCTGTTGGCACCCTCCATCCTGGCATGCTGCAGATTGACAAGGCTAGGGACTTACACTGCAGCTGCCTTAACAGAAACAAGGGTACCCTTAAGAAATGAAGAAGGCAAAAGCAGCTAGAGCAACCCCTAAGAACAGCTTCTTTCCATGTGTTTACCAAGTGCAGGCCTCTCCTGCTTCCCCACAGGCAGGGCTGCTGCTCTGCCTTTCCATGGCTGTGGAAGTGGGGTGCTTACCATTCTCTCCAAGGCTACCTGACTTCACTGTAGGGCATGGAAAAATGCGCCTGGGAGAATGGCCAGATCCTGCTCACCAAGTCATCCTCCTTGTAGCGCATCTTGGAGGTGTGCCGGCGCATGCTGTACACTGTCAGCAGCAGGTACAGGAAGGCAAAGGATGTGTGCAGCCACAGCAGGTTATTCCTGTCACAAGGGAGACCACAAAGGTCAATGCAAGGTTGCCACTATAAGTCTATGTATGGCTGGTCAGGCCCTGAAGGCACTGGGGCCACAAGCAGTGTAATCAGCACAGCACACATATGCCCTATAACTAAATGCCAGGAGCTCAGCCTGGAAATTGGAGCAGGGACAGTAGCTTCACTGCGAGGGCAGAAATGCAACCTTCAAGGAGGTGAGGCAGCAAGTGAGCATTTACCGAATACCCCCTGAGGCCCTCAATTATCCATCCCACCCCTGCCCACACATACCCAGAATTCAGGTTAGCGATAGTTGTCCTCCCAAAGCTGTAGGCGTTGTTTTCTAAGGAGAAAGAGGCAGACACAAGCACGTTCAGTTATACTAAGTGGCACAGAGCACCACTAGGGTGAGCTATGGCAGGAATCTCACCTGGAGAACACCTCAAAACCCAAGCTGCCCAGGACTGACCCTGTGGATGCACTACTCTCAAAGTGGAAGAGCAGTCAGGGTTTCTCTGTGTTAGTCCTGTCCTGCCCTCCACTGCTACCCAATGGTCTGGGACATGGTGTTGAATGCAGCTCCCCCAGACCAGCCAAAGGTTTTGTGTGCTCACCTAGCAGGTCCCCTGAGAAGTTGACAGGTAACACGATGCCCACGGAGAGCACACCCACGGCCACCAGCAGCCCGATGATGTGCCTCTGGAAGGACAGGTAATGCACTGCATCAGCCCCACACTTGTCCCGGATCTCATCATCCCTGCCAGGGAGAGAAAGGCTGTCAGGCAATTTCCGACATTCCCTCAACTGCTGGAGAAAAGCACACCATCACAGCTGCCCTCCTGATTTGACCACACACAGCACTCCTGGTTCTGCCCTACAGAGCTGTGGCTAGGCTCTGGAGTAGGGAGCCCAGTACTCAGCCTGGGCAGAAACTTGCCTGTACAATCCTTACTCAGACCCACTCCCCATGGCCCTGCCCTCTCTCCCCTGGTACAGGCAGCTGGACACACACAAACCCCATCTCACACCCTTCTGGTGGGCCTTGCCTTCCCTGCTAAGATACAGGATGGCTGATGCAATCCCACAGCACTCTGAAACCAAGAAGTACTTGGGAGACTACTCCTGAGCAGCGTAAGGCTGGGGGTGTCTCCCTGCACCCTCCAGCTCTCTCCTCATGGCCATTCCTCAGACAGCAGTGCCTCTAGCAGAAGATCAGGGAGAGAAGCATCTCTGCAGAGCAGCAGACACTGTTTCTGAGATGGGACCAATGCAAGGGAACCCTGGGCTGGGCACTCTCCTCTGTCACAGACTCACTGTGACACCTTATTTTGGCTTTAGGACTCCTTATCTAGTCCCATATCTCTGCTTGTCTTCTCCAGAGGACACATTTTGCTTGTGCTCTTCAGATAGGGGGCTGCAGCAAGGGCAGCAGCTTCATGCAGCTGTGCTGCACTGGGCATCCCAACAACCCCACACTCTCCCTCCTTCTTCCCCATGTGGATCCCTCGTGCAGGTCCTCGGGCACTTACTTTATCCTGAAGATGGCTGTCAGCCAGGAGCAGAAACCCTGTGCAGAAAAGAAGATGGGAGGATTCACATCACTCTGTGTTCCCTTATCCCTACTCCCTCCTTCAAAGGCTCCAGGGACCAGGCTGGTGTCCTTGTTTCGCCCCCCTTGGCTTGGGGGGAACAAACCACGAACACAGTCACAGATGGGCCAAGGTGAAGGAGGTGACAGTGCTACTCCATGGAGCACACCACAGGCTGGACACTGCCATGTGGCTGTCCCTTACCAACTGGTAGCTCTACCTCCCAGGCAACTCATGGGCTCCTAGCTAACATGAAAGCTGTCCACAGCCTAGGGATACCCAAAAAATTCAACATAACAGGTACTTTAGCCATCACTCTGGACAAGAGAAGCTCTGCAGGGAGTGGGAAGGTGGGCTGGGCTAAGCCAGTGCTCCTCAAAGGACACCTAGGGGAGCTTCACTCCCCATTCATCACCCCTCCTGTTATCTGACTGAACTGTGCCTCCCCTTTAGTGAGGAAAACAGCAGTAGAGGTAGACAGCAGTGTGAGGAGGAGTTGGCAAGTATTGTTTGTAATGCTGAGATCATAGGTTAGACAGATCTGTTAAGCCACAGGGATGCACAGCCTATTTATTTAAGCACACATCTAGAAGCTGCATAGTTATGTTTCCTTGAGCTCTACGCCACACTCACACACTACAAGGTGTGAGACTAAAGACCCAGGAATGGGCAAAAAAGCGTTTCTTCTGAAAAGAAGCTGCGAGCTCCTGGCCACTCAAAGGCAAGGCATCTGACTCTAGCTGCTACTCACGTTGTCCCTCTGGTCGAAGTCCACAGAGCTGGAGACGGAGGTGAGGCGCTCGTAGCGGTCATGGTTGTCAGAATGCAGGGCGGAGGCTACGCTAAAATGACAAAGTGGGAGGCGAGGGAGAAAGTTAGAAGATGCGAAGAGGCAGCCTGGCCGGGAACCAAGAGCACCCAGAAGACAAGAGATTAATGCAAGTCAGTTTACCCCAGGTGAGATGGAGAGAGGCAAGATCAGAGAGCAGAGGTAGCAGTAAACAGAGACCCCCTCCTCAAATGGCACCCTGAGCCTGGCAAACTCAATGGGCTTGGCCACAGATACTGCTTGTTCAGGACCATCTGAGAGGTACCCACATCATGTGGCAGCCCCTGTGAGGAGAGCCCAGAGGCTGCCACAGAGGAAAGATGAGGTCTATTTAGCACAGAGCTCAGACAGAGGAGAGGAGTGAGAACTGGAGGGTGTTGCAGTCCTTCCAGCTCTGGCATGACAGGAGAGGCACTGGCAGTGGCTTCTATCCTGGAGGGCCTTACTCGCCTTCAGGAATAGGAAGGATGAGAGTCTGGTGGGCTGCATCCCGCTACACCAGTCTCCCCACCCTTAGTGCTTCTGTGCAGGAGGAAGAATACAGCTGGCTGGAGCTAGGCTCAGCACAACCTGCTCCACAGTCTCAGCTGAGTCTCCTGCCTGGAAATCCCTTGAGCAGGAGCGGGGCAGACAGCTAGAGGTGAATGCCTGCATGCTAAAGGATGGGAAAGCAAAAGGAGTGAATATCCCAAACAGCTTTACTCCAGATGGAGGCAGGGACCTAGATGAAGAACCTGCAGCAGAAGTATCCAAGGCTGACAAGAGTCCCCGCTACAAATGGAGGCAGGGAGCAGCTGACAAAGGAGGCAAGAAAATGGTCCAGAGACCTAAATTAAACAGCACTTGCAAGATGACAACAGCAGGCTGGGACCTCAGAGGTGCAAGAAGAGATATGGCTGGTCTGAAAGCTAGAAACAAAGGAAAATAAACAAATGAAAACATGGTCTCCCTGTAATCAGTACAGGTTCAAGGAGGATAAGATGGACAAGAACACAGAGAAACAGCAGCTGAGAGACAAGTGCTAGAGATGAGGTGGATGACACTATGTGAAGGAGAACAAGCACAGACCCTTGTGAACCTGCTGAAGAAAAGAGGATGGGACATGTGGTTTCCTTCAGAGCAGAGCAGCACCTGCTGAGTCCCTAGCTGGAAGTAACGGGGAGAAGGAAAAGGAGATTAGCTGAAGGTCAGGGGACTACAGCAGTGCAGATTAGACAGCAGCATGCAGCCTTGAGACTGCAAAGCCCAACACCCTGCTCTGCTGGAGGGACAGAACAAGCTTCAGCCCAGCTCTCAGACCTTCAGCCCTTTAAAATTGCAGAGGCCTTGCAGCTGGGCACAGGGAGTGAAGGCGAATTTCTGCGGTGCACAGCCCTGAGGAGAGCCCAGCACAATGCCACAGTGTGCTTTCAGCTTCTTGGTACTGAAAAAGCAGAGGGCAGATCAGAAGCAGCACTGGAGAGAACAGCTGAGTGGAGTGCCGTGCTATGAGATGACCAGGATAACTCAGCTCCATGCAGGGGGGATGCTGAAACAATAATCAGGATGACCTGCAATGCTGAGAAGACAGGCCAAACCTTGCTAAAGATGAGAAGCTGAAGAGGGAGCTCCAACAGTACCCGCATCTATCTGGAGGCTTTTTAAAGCAAAGTACTAACAATGCAAATGAGCGGAAGCAGGATTGCCCTAAATCTCAGGATTAAGGTGGGACCCTGCATGATGCCCCGGGTTTGCTGTAGACCCTGCCAGGGAAGGAGAAGGACAGGGACTGAGGCATGTCTAACCTCAGGTCAAGGAAATCATAGGCTCGGACAGGGGAGGCCAGGCATGCTGTGAAAAGGGCTTGCTGTGGTGCAAGGCAGGAGGTGACTCTGTGGGTGGTAAGCCCCACTGGGCTTTGTGATCACTGCCCTCACACAGACAGGAGTGGGTAGGCTGCCACTGCCTCCCAGTGCGGACTGAGTCATCAATTAAGAGTGTCAATGGCTACTGCAAGCCCTGGCAAGGGGCAGGACAAGGGCACTTGCTGGTTCTCATGCAAAGGGAACACATCAGAGGAGGATGTGCTCACTCCCAAAGAGCAACGTTGTGCACTCAAGGGCTGGGAACACCAGGTGACATATATGTGTTATTAATCCACCACCTGCCACTGCACCCCTGCAGAGAACAGCTGGGATGGGAAGATGCCACCAGCCTTGGAGAAGCACAGCTAGGATAAGGCTTCCTCGCTGAGCTCTGCAAGTTTTTGAAAGCTTCTGGCTACCTACACTGTCCCAACTCAAGCAGTAGGTTTGGGGGTAGTATGTGTGGTGTGTGTGTCAGCAGATTGCTCCAGCAAGCTCAGGTGAAGAACAGGAGCAGGAAAAAGTGGCACCCTGGAGAGAGACAAGTACTTGTGAGGATAACTGAAATGGACCCAAGGAAAAGCCTCAGAGCATGATAGCTCTGCTGCCTCTGCCTTACTCCCCCCCACAAGGTGTTAGCAGTGAAAAGTCATCAGACACACCTGAGGCAGGGCCAACCACTAGTTGAGAACTCAAGCATGAGCAAGGGGTCCCTTCTGTGCCATGTACCACAGCTACTGCCAGCTCTGTTTTCACAACTCCAACTGCTCTGCTCCTTTGAGGTCAACGAGCAGCTATGAAAATAGAAGCATCCCTGTACCCTCTTAAGGCAGTAACAGGCCCCTGCTTTGCAAGCGGTGAGGCTTTGCAAGTGAGAAGTGAGGCTGCAGCTTGCTACCCTGGCCTCAGACACAAATCAGCGTGGCTGGAGCAACCATTGCAGGGTCTGTGCTGCCAGCTGATAGTCTCCTCTGCAGTCTGTACCATCCAGTCAGTCAGCAAGACACACAATGCTCTTTTCTTAGGCATAAAAACAGCAAGAAAGAGATAAGAGCAGGAAGGGAGGGACCCTGGCAGGGCTTAATGGTTAATGCCAGGCCAAGGTGCCAAAGGATGCTCTCAGTAGTGCTGAGGCAAGAGTTTCTTCTGCAAGGGGAGAGATAGGTGCTGCCTTGCTGGGCATGGGGGCAGGTGGAAAGGGCTAAGGGTCGATACTTGTCCTGGTCCCAAAAGCTTCATAGGGTAAAAAGGAAAGACAAAAAAGTCTTGCAACTGCCTCCCAGATCCTCCATGTGCACCCGCCTACTCTTGCTGCTGGGAACAGCACTTGTGGCACACTGGCTCAAGCAATCAGGTTTGTTTTCTTCCATAATAAGGCAGGATAGCTGAACACAGGCAGGTAGATCAGGGTATTTGAGACAGCACCCTCTGCCCTAGCCAGGACTCCTTGGCACTGCTGCCCTCAGGGAGCATTTAAGGGCTACTAGGAGAAAAACCAGGGTGCATTCAGCTGTGGCAGTGTCTGACACAAAGGGGAGAGAAAAAGAAGAGAATTAATCCACTGAGAGGCACAAATCCATGCCCAAACTCCCAGCCACTGAGATTAGTTCAGAAGCAAGACAGAAAACTGCAAGAGAAAAAGAGAAAGAGGAGTGAGCAAGAGAGAGAGAAGAAACGAGACCCTGAAAAAGCAACATACTATTCCCGCTCCTCTCGCTCCGTCTGCCAGCGTCGGCGCCTGGGGGCACAGAAACAGAAAGGGAGAGGTTACAACCATGGGAGTAGGTGTGGGGCCTCCTCTTTCACAGGGAGCTGTGCACCCAACATGGCTCCACATCGTCCCGAAGAAGAGAAACTCGCCAGTGATCACGCTGGAGAAGACCTTCCTTCCAGAGCCCAGCACTGCCTCAAGCCACAACCACCCAGAGCCCCCACTGGCCCAGTGGCAGAGTGCTTTGCTGCCAGCTAAAGGCAAGCTGGAAAGGTGGCCTGACTCCACACCAAGGTCATCGTATGGAGCTCCTGCGGGATGGGGCCAGATAGGAGAGACTGCTGGGGCTGCCTGGCTGCCATCCGAGCTCCCCTTTCCATGCTTCTCCTCCCCACCCTGGCAATCAACACACTTGGATCTCATCCTCTTAAAATGCACATCGCACTCCAGGGATGGCCCAAGTAGCAGGGGCTCCTCCCTGGGAATATGGTCCTATTGATCGACAGCCATGCTGTTCTTCTTCCTGTGCTTACCAGCTCTACCTCTCCAAATAGCTGGCATCCCTCTACCTTTCTGCCTGCAGCCACTGCTCCCACTCCCTTGCAACCAAGGTGCTCAAGCACTGTCTCTGAGAATGTCCAGCCCTCTCTCCCCACTTGAGGCCAGAGCTGTGCAGCCCTTGTGGCTGTCAGCCAGCACCTGGGTCCAGCTTGCTTAAACCTGAGGAGCTGGTGCCCTCTCCTCAGTGAAATCTCATACAGCTATTCCTTTCTCCTTATTTTCCCTCACTGCCCCTGCATGGCTGATTTCCCCAGCCAGGTCAGGAAAGAAAGGACAGAGGAGCCATAGGGACACAGCTGCTTATCTAACCCTATCCAGGACCACTTCTCTAAACCAGCAAAGTTCCTGGTTCAGTGCCGGAAGAAATAAAACTCTTACTCTTTCCACTGCCGTGCAAGGAGTGCTCAAGAGCAGCTTGATATAATCTGTATCACCAAAGAGGCTAGAGCTCAGCTGCATCTGAGCCTTCAGGCATGACGAGCTCATGGAGCTGATCAAGAGGAAGAAGAACCTACCAGCCTTCAGAAGCCACACTTTGCCTCCAGCAAGTGATGAAGAACCACAGGCACAGCACCCCTCTTCCCTGGAGAAAGGTGGACTACCTGGACAACCCTTCTAGCTTAATCAAGGAAAGTCCCCTGGTTGTGCACTGAAAGAAAATAATCGTCCTTCCTGCTGCTGACAGCAAACACTAGCACAGCATCTCACTCTGCTGTGGAGCTGCCATTCCCAATGGGCCCTGGCTTTTGCTGACAGACACTGTAGCCCACAAATGCATTGGGCAGGAAGGATCCATACCCAGACCGATTCATCAGCACTCGGGATTCAAGCTAAACTTACGTTAGCACAGCAGTACTGCACCTGGAAATGCAGCCCACCACTTTCAAGTGCTCTTAACAAGAACTGCAGCCTGCAGAGCCACAAAGACACCTTCAGAGGCTTAACAAAGCCTGCACTGTAACAGCCCTCACCCTTCCTGCGACCTTTTTCCTCTATCCTTCCTCCATCTGCCCTTCCTCTGTAAAGGCCCCAGCACACCTCTGCCTCTGTAGGGACCATAAGCAACATGGATACAGCAGGGACCACTCCCTGTGTTGGAAAAAGGATGCTGTAACAAAAAAGCCAGTAAGTGGGATTTTCCTGAAGCTCCAGGAATGCAACTGGCGTATTTGCCTCTCCTCCCCAGCTGCTCAGGCATACACAATGGGATTTATCCCTTCTGCCTCACAGCAAAGTAGGGTACCACTCATATCTTGTTTCCCTGTCCCTCTCCCATGCTTACCTGTCAGCATCAGTCACCAGGGCCAGGCGACCATAGTCCCAAGCAACTTTACGCAAAATTGAAAAGACAAACAGCAGTGCCTGTAAAAGAACAAAGGAGAAGCTGTCAGAAAAGGCATCGCCCAACTCTGTCCTTGTCCTCTGCATGCAGAGCTACAGGAACAGGGAGAGTAGGAGACAGACAGAAGTCCTCAGCTAATAGCATTCTGAGACCACAAGACAGCACAAGTTCCCCAGGGCTGTTGTATCAGACTATCTGGATGGCTGTGGGAAGCAGAGGTCCAGGATGAAACACACACCAACCAACGTGGCCCCACAGGATTTCAAGGCCCTCGGATCCCCTGGAAGTGAAATTATGGCTACAGCATCTGTGGTCCTGCAGTTTCTAAAGAGTAACAAGCAAAAGCCTTTGGGTGGGTTAAGCTGTAAGGACTTGGCACCAGAGGTAGGAGATTTGGGATGCAGGACTGACCTAACCTGACCCATGTCCTTAGGGCACCAACACCCTTCCATGGGGCTGAGTATGGTGGTATTTGAGTTAAGTCAATAGTGTCTAAGCCCACAACAGCTAGGGGACAAGATCAGGGCCAGAAAGTCAGCCAGCAGCAAAGTCAGGGATGGCACATGGGGCCCTCAACTCTAACCATCTGACCACAATCCTCCCTTCACAGTTAATCAGGGGAGAAGGTGCTGAAGCAACAGTAGGTATACTTACAAGAAAGCACATAAAATCGAGGGCTAGGACGGTGGGCACTCCGCCAAAGGGCAGTCCCTGCAGCACAGTGCTGCGGATGCGTGCGCTGTAGCAATAGTCCTTAGTGCTGTTGTTGCTGTTGCATGTTGGGGCTTTGCAGGTGGCCCCTGCTGAGCCCAGGGTGGCGATGACGTAGGGAAGCATCTCTACAGCTTCATCGTCTTCCTTGGGGAAAGGAGACAAAGAGCAGGTTAGACACATGCCAGCTGGATGACAATGGAGTCCTGTTAGAGTTAGCAGCCAACCTTACCCGCTAGCTCAGGCTTCTCTGTGCTACCGGATTTTCCTGGGACCAAGTGTCCAGGGACAAGGTCATCTGAGGGAGCCTGCCTGGGGATGCTGGAAGAACCCAGCTGCCTCAGCAGCTGTGGTCCCACCACACGCAGTCCCAGAGCTTCCTTCCTTGTTTGCCTGTCTCATGCCATTTATGTGTACCTCTTTCTCACAGACTATTCTTCTTCCTGAGAACGTGGTGTCTCAGCTCCCCCTCCCAGCAGGGAGAACATTCAGGTACCGGAAAGAGCAAAAGGGTGGGGTGGTGGGGACATGAAGTCACGTCTGGATGATGGAAAGAAACTGCTATGGGACAGTTGCTGCATCATGATCCCACAATTTCCTTTGCCTGGCTGCATAAAGCCATTAGCTTTATTAGGCTGAATCATCACCCTCACTGCGGGTCTCAGTCTCCAGCTCCCAGGGCACTCATCAGGAGTTGGTCACGCCTCCTGCTTGTTTTCATTCCTTCCTCTGACTTGGACACATTTAGATACGACCACACAGGACAGAGAGGACCCTTAGGCTCTAGTATTTAGCTGGTCAAACATTTAATTTGTTTCAGTGCCCTCCCCAAACTGTTACAAGACCCACAGGTCAGCATCACTGCTTGGACATAGGGAGATCCTTCTCCTGTACAGAACAGCTCCATGGGAAACACAGAGAAGACCATGCCAGCAATGGATAAATGCAAATTGAACGTCTAGACGGTCTTGAAAAAGGAAACACAGCAGAAACATGATCATTTTGTGGAATAGGGGAGAGAAAATCTGATATGAGCTGCAGAAGGAACAGTGGTAACTGGACGATCTACCCAGGCTGCTCTTATCCAGCACCCACCAATCACCCCAAATCCTTAACTACTCCATGAACCATGCAGAAAGGCTGGACAGCACAGCATCACTTCTGGGCAACGCTCAGGGGTTCTTGCCCAGAAATGTTATGCTGGTGGGCTGGGCAAAAGAGTTGTCATTCGCACAAAGGATGAGAAAGCTGCCAACACGACTACCCTGTGCTGATTTCAGCCTCTTGTCCCACTTAGCCTTGTCCTTCTAGCTCTGCATTGGATGGTAACATTATCAGAGAGGGTGCAGAACTATTACCTCCAGCTCACGGGTGTATCCTGGCAATCTCCCGCCTGGCTGCAGAGATTTATCAGCATCACAGCACAACACTAGCTGGATAATGACCACAAAACGATTTGCTGCGGTGACCTAGAGAGCTCAGCTTCAAAGTGATCCCTCCCAGCTCAGCTGGTACTGATGCACAACTGCAAACCAGCTGAAGCACAGATGACAAAGGGCAGGCTGAGGAGCAAAAGCCCAGCTGGGTACAGGCACTGATAGGGGTCAGACAAATTGGAAAAGTCACAAAGCAGCCCACTAAGAGGTAATTCACAGGTACAGAGCTGGAGCAGGTCTGCCGAGAGCAAAACAAGGGAGCAGAAAAGCAGGAGAAAAAAGCCAAGCTACGAGATCACATTTGGGAACAAACTGGGAAGCCAGGAAGGATAATTCACCCTGTCTGAATATTAACTGGGACCCAAAGGAAAGTCACACGCTTTGAAGCATGAATGGCTACACCCCTCTGTAAGCGCAGCCTAGATGGACTTATTGAAAAGAGAAATACCTCTCAGTCCTCTTTTGGGAATCTTGTAAACTTTTAGGTTGTAAATAGTATCTTGGAACAAAGAGTTTCAGATGTTGAGTAAAAGACTATGACCCCACTGCAACATCACAGCCTTCAGTTCTCTTTGCATAGCCAGAAAAGCCTTTGCTTTTTCTAGACGTACTAAGCACCCTCTCCCTCCCAGGACATGGGGTGTCTTTCCAGCTCTGATCACTCTCAGCACAAATCCCCAATATATCCTCTCTTCTGACCCTATGGAAAGGTGACCAGAACTGCATACAATATCCTGGGTAGGGAAATGACCTTGACTGCCAGAACAGCATCCTGATGCTCTCAGCATCCCTCCTTACACTACTCCTGGTGTGCCTGAGCATGATTCACTTCTCTGATGGCATCTTTGCGTATTGAGGAAAAGCATCTCTGTAACTGTCCTGCAATCCTGCTGTCCTGAGTAGCCACAGTAAATTAGAAGCCAGCCATATCCCAGAGCAAATCACTCCTTCCAATACACCTGGCTGCATGCTTCTCATCTTCTCACATCACTTCACTTCACATGGTATCACTTTGGTTGCTTCATCTTGACTATTCTGAATGACTCCAGGGTGGCATATTTGGGGCACCTTGCTGCACATTACCTTTTCTGGGTCATTAGTAGTGAAGGACCTCATCCCTCTGCCCGTCACACTGAAATTGCTCATTCACTCCTTGGCTTTGCTCATGGAACCTCAGCCAGTTTTTGATCCAGAACTCTACATCTCCAGTAGACAGTTTTCTAAACAGACTTTTGTGAGAAATTTCAGAGATTTTCTGAACATCCAAGCAAGTTACACAGGTTGGCTGAATACTACCTATTATTTTACCACAGTACTGAAAGACTTGCAACAGATCAGGGAACTGTGATTTTTCTCTGCAGACACCAAACTATTTACCTCATTCCTGCATGTTTTATAGACCCGTTTTCTAGTCATCTTTCTTAAAAGAAATGCTCGCATTGCCCACAACCCTCTCTTAAACATTATTTATACAAACCCATTACATGTGGAAGACAAATTCTACAAGCCTATGGGTAATTTAAGCCACGTTTCACAGAGACAGGTCCCAGAGATATATTTTTTTCCTGAAGCCTAGAGAATGGACTGGAGTTAAACCCTCCTCGCCTCTCCAGTAACCCAGCCAGAATACTCAGTAATGGGAAATACATGGCATATGCCCAAGGCTTACACTGCCTTTTCATCAGCCCAGTCAGGTGATACAGTAAGAGTCAGGACCATCCTTAGGTATGCAACCTTCCACCCAGCTGGTAAGCACAAGGAGACAGAGGTGCTTCAGGTGTGTGGGAAGGCTAGAAAAGCACACAGGAGTATTTGGAGCACTTTGCACCTTCCAGCTCCTCCAGCTGCAGAACATCTAGCATCAGGCTGGAGGTGACCTACTATCACTTTAGGTCAGACCCACCAGGGCTCTTCTGGGGTCAACATCAATTAGGCAACTAAGAAAAATGCTTTGGTAACCAACTAGGCAGCCTTGATTGGCAGTGCCTATCTAGTATCCTTCACCACAGGCCTTTCCCAGGAGCCTTTCAGCTGAGCAGGAGACTGCCTGGTTTTTCCAGGCACAGACCAACCCACTGCCCTGGCGATACCTCTGTCCTTGCATTCGGTTTGCACTCTGGTCTCAGGCGCTTGCTCCAGGGGCACCCTGAGCCCCCACCCTCAGCCAGGCAGGGCACACTGCAATGCATCCAGTGCTGCAAGGTGCAGGGCTGGTCCTGGAAGCAGCCAAGGCTGAGTGCAGTGTTTTAGGCAAAGCTCAGGCAGGGAGGAAAGGCGGCGCTTGCAGCAAGCACAGTCCTGTGGTGCAGCACAGTACTTCCCAATAATAAAAGGAAATCCCCTCCAGCAGCGTGGGATTTCTCTGGCAACAACTGCCCTCATCCCCAAATACACACTCGATGCCCTGCCTCCACCAAAGGCAGAGATAGTTTTGCAAAGCTTTCTATTCAGATCTCACTGCCTGCCTTTAGGGAAGGACCTGCCTATTTCCTTACACCTTACGCTGCCGCCACAGGTAAGGGAGCCCCTGTGACCACACAAACCATGCTGCACCAGGACACGGTTCAAGGTGCCCTTCCTGGTTCCTCCTTCTCCTTAAAGACTGCAGGTCAGGGCAAGCTTGACTCAGCCTGGGCTGAGATGGTAACATCAGCATGAGCTCCTGAGCATTGAGAGTCAAGACACAGGGAGTTGGTGGGAACCAGCTAAAGCTGTCCAAGGCCCTTTCCTGATCATAAGCATGGCTTCCTACCACATCACATGGTGAGACCAAGAAGGCAGTAACGGCAGGACACCAAACCAAGTCCCACGCAAGCCCCAGTTCTCCCCTCCTGTACACTGCACATTTAATGCTGACTTCCTCAGCACAAACAGCAGACACACTTGCCAAAATGCATTTTTGGTTCTTATTCAGCAATATTGAACTTCATCCTCTTCTCAAAGAGGAGCAGGAAGCAGAGAGAGAGAAACGGCAGTTCCCTGCTTCCCCCATTCCCAGAGAAGTGGCAGTTCCCTGCTTCCCCCCATTCCCAGAGAAGCCTGCTTCCTGCCCCGCAACATAGCTCCTACATCCCCTGCAGGACCAGCATGTCCATGCTGTCCTGTGTTTCTACCCACATGTGTCAGGAGCAGAGGCATGTATCCTGCTTCCTAGCTGAAGACCCGGAAGCACATCCCACTAGGCACTGTAGCCCCAGCTCCTGTCTGCTAAGCCCTGTGCAAATGCAGCCCTGGGAACCACTGTTCTCAAGAGCTTGGCTGCCTCTGCAGGGCAGGGCCTCTCCTCCTCCTCACCTTTGTCCTTGGCCTGCAGGTCAGCACAGCTTACTGGGTTTTTCTCTTGGATGAGCACCCACATAGGAGCCAAGAAAGTCTTCACGTTCCCATCTGTCCATTGCAAAGAGAAAGAGGGAAGGTGGCGGAATGAGGCTGGTAAGGCCAGGATTACATGCCCTGGTCCTTCACTGGTGTGACTCGGACTGCAGAGTGTGCATCAGGATGCTTATGGAGTAATCCCACAGCCTGGGCAGGGGGTGACATGCAGCAGAGGTCTGAGGGGCTCTTGCAGGGCAGGGGACCAGGAGGTGCCTGTTGAGGAGGCTGCCTGTCCCACACTGAACTCTGCTGCAGCACAGCATGGTCAGGGCACACACTAGTAACAGTGCTGCAGACCCTCTCAAATGGAGCACT